CCTCCTCTTCCCAGGCATCTCCCTCTTCTCCCTCTGACCAGTCATTGGTGTCCCACCACCACTTCCCAGGATCTGAGCCTCCTTCCCTTCACTAGTTCCTCCCACCATTCCTCTGCATCCAACCACTCCATGACATTGAGGGCTCCTTGCAGACAAGTCAACATGGGTACCCTTCTCTCAAAGTAAGGAGTTGGACAAAATACTGGAGAAACAAGGAGACCCATGATTCAGTTCAACTCACAGGAACATGGGAAGCTGCCATATACTGGGTCAAGCTATTTGTCCATGGAACCTAGTCTTCTCTACTCTGACTGGCAACAGCTCTCCAGGTTCTCAAGCAAACTTTTCCCCCACTCACCTCCTGCCTCCCATATCCCCCCCCCACTGGGCATTCCAAGGATTGAACTTGGAGTTTCCTGCCCATGAAAAACACACTCTGCCATTGAGCTGTGATTTCTCCCCACTAGAAAGACACAAGTGGACCGATATGTGGAGGAGTGCTCCTGTCCAGGGTTCCAGCTAGCCAGTCATGTCCCATACCAGGATACTCCATTCCATTCCACCAGTTGTCCTGTCCAGTTCCCCTGCCACCTCCACCAGTTAGCCAACATTCCATGCCCACTGAGCATGCTCAATCCTTATTGAGCTGCTTGAAGGGGTACTCCTTCAGGGATTTTGTTGAAACATAGTTCTGAAAATCTTGAGAGTTCCCTCAAGCCATCCAATAGCTGCCTCCGCTGTATCTGGTGCTGTTTTAACCACATCAGAATCAACACTAAGAGAATCAGTCCATGATATACTATAGGACATAGATAACAGGGCTGTCACACAATTAATGAATTTAGTCAACTAAAGTGCAAACGTTAATCAAGTCATCAATTAATTAAATATCAGTTTGCAGGTGAGGAAAAAGTTCTAAAGGAACTTGTTTTATTGATGATGCAACTATGTTGTACAACAGGCACCATCTTATAAGAAACATAATCTCTTAGAAGAGGAATTTTATAACAGGCATAATCTGTGTCAGACACAGAAGGGAATGCCTCTTTTAAGATCCTGTCTGGTATTTTCATAAGTACTTGTAATAAATATAGTTTCTGGGGTTAAAAAAAAACAACAACCAGTGTTACAAAAATTAAAATTGGGAGCCCTGGACTTCTCTGGAAGTTTATCAAGAGTTCCTCAAGAAAAGGATCAAAAATAGCAGACAGGCTTCCCTGCAAGACAGCTTGCTCTCCACTGATGTATTCCCTTGCAATATGGAGTCACAAGGGAGTGTTGGGTAACTTGTAGGCCAGCATTTCCCACATTGTGGAGAGTAGGGAGCTCCAGCTCAACTTCAGGTGCACCTCAGCTCTGTGGCCCAACCACCTAGCCATGCAGTAACCTTTAGGTTAGACAGAGGCTAGCAGTTTCAAAAGCAGTAATAATTGACTTGGAACAGAGAGGAGGAAGGTAAGAGAGGGGTGCTATTTAAGAGGGGAAAGAGATGGCAGGGAGGAGGGATGAAAGAAACTGGTTGTTTGTGGGTGGGCATAATGGTACAGGTTAAGCGTGAAAGGGGAAGAGAAGAAGAAATGGCAAGAGATGAGCAAAAATGATTTGAGAGGCATGGGAGGAGAAGAGAAAAATAAAATAAAAACCTCCACTTACAGCCCCCTGAATAAGCAAATTCTGTCTGAAATTAGAAGTCTGAATCATAATACCTCCAGAACCAACATGCATGTACTTAGCTTGAGAAAAGAAGAACTATGGAACTCACTGTCATAAGGAAATCACAAAATTTCCGAAGAAGGATTAGATAACAACAGAAAATGGTATCAGTAATGGCCAGCTGATTGTGCCAATCTTCATCTTCATATTGTTGCTGAGTCTGACTCTGTCTTTGCACTGCTATTTTGTGACTGGTGCACCTCAGTAATTTTTATGCCTCTTAAAGTGGGCCCTGAGGGTGCAGAACGTGAGAACCCCAGTCCTCCTCTTAGTGGATGAAGGATAACAGCATGCAAAAACCCATCTGGCCACTGCTTTGCTGCCTGAAACAATGTCCCAGACTCCTCTGAGGCAGTCTGTGGGAAGTGTTTAAAAACAACACACTGAGATATGATTCTGCTTTGAATTTTTGAAATGTTATTAGATCCTTTTGCTGTCATCTGTGGGTAGTTGTTGTTGTTTAGATAGCTGTCATTGTATTGTTCTCTCTAGTGCTTTTAATTTTGTACACAGTCTTTTCAAACAGTAGCATATTAAAAAAAAATTGTTATTGCTAGTTTTATGGACCCCGCTTTTAGAAATAAAGTTCTTCAGAAGGTGCCCTACATAATAAAAACCCTCAAGACAATGAAAATCACACCAGCATAATAATGTAGACAAGAGCCAGGATAAGTTAGGAAAGAAGTTTCTTCAAACACCATTTAAGATCAGAGGAAAACCTCTGAAAAGGTGATTTCCTAGTACCTGCCATTTTGATCCTTACTAACAGCCAGAGAATAGGACCCCCAAATACCCTTTCCAGGGCACCGAAAATAATCTAAAACTGCAGGCACATTCAGAATGGAGCTTGAGTTTGAATCTAGCTGTCCCAAGTTATAACTGTGCTTCTCATGAGAGCACGCCTTAGGTAGCTACTAAGAGTAAAATCAATGCAAATACACTGCCATAATAATCTTTATAAATCCACAGTAGTTAAAGCAATTAATGAAATGGTAGAACAGCAGCCAATTAAAAACATGCATTTATTTTAAAATAATCTGGGGAATATTTGCTTGCTGGGATGAGCCCAGAATCCTATATTGCCTTCTCATGTCCTGTTGTTAACATTAATAAAAATGTTAAGACTCTGGCAAATCAAGTATCCAGAACAAAACCTAGGCAACAAAGCAGCTATTGAGAGGAAGGAAGAATAGTCTTATAAAAGAACTATAGTTGTGTGTGTTGGTGTGGGGATTATGTTTCAGAATTCAGTGTTCAAAATATCCAAAACAGTTTGCTTTTTAAAAAATCATAAAAGCGTTTTTTTAAAAACCCCATGAAGATGTAATTTAAAATAACAGAATCAATGGGGAAACCATCTAAAACCAGGATAAATTTGTCAGCATCAACCAATGAAAGCAAGCTTCACCATCAAACACTAAAAGTCTGTGAGAATTAAAAAGTTAACCAAATCAAAAACTTAACCAAAAAGGTACTACCGTTGAACGTAACTAAATAAGGCCTCGCCACTGAAGATGCTTTCTCCTCATCAGCTACCTAATCTCTGAAAGTAAAGCTTTGAAGAAGATCCTAGATTTCAGGCAGGTTTATATGGTAAGATGTTCCATTTCTATTTGTCTGTCTCTGTATATGGTATATGGATTACGTGTGAGAGGAGGGGGAAATAGATGGAGTTTTTGTGTGATTTCAGTGGGGCTTATTCCCAAGTAATTTGGTACAAGACTGGAGCTTTGATTGGCTAATCACCTGGCTTTTAACTGATCATTGACTAAATTCACACAAAATTTTGGATATTGCCAAGCTGCCTTTTTAACATATTGAAGGAAGTTCGCATTTAATACACAAATCCTCCCATTTCTGCTGAAGACATTTATTAAACATTGCAGTGGCTACATTCTAACCAGCTTCACCATGTCACAGCTTGGGTTAAAACGCTGTAAAGCTGAAGGAATAAAAATCTTTACCCACAACAACAACAAAAATACTGGATCAAAGAACAAGGAGTCATGTGACGTGTTAAAAGGTTGTGATACACACTTTCCTTGCCTAGGGAATCCACTTGGACAGAGCTGCACAAAGTGCTGTCCCGTGGCTGCTTCCCTAGGCTCAGAGTTGTCAGCATGCACCATTTAAACTTTGTTCACGTCCATCAATCGGAATCCCGATTCAGAACCTTGGACAGGTAAAAAGCCCTAAAACGCATTCCATCTGTGGCTTCAACTCCCCCCCTTGCCTTGCCGCGGACTTTGCTATTCGAGATGTGGAAGTAGGGGTGGCGTGGTAGGGGAACCGGAATCCTCCATTCCCGTCACCCCTGCTTCCGGAAACAATACCTTGTGTCCGCACCGAGGGGTCTTAATTCGCTTTTGGCTTTGTGGGCAGTTCGCAGAAAGATTCTGCAGCCAGGCGACGACGCGTTTTGCAAGGCGAGGTGTAGCCCGGTGCGTTCCCCAACAGCCCTTTTACAGAACCAATTATCTTATTAATAATGGGACATTCAAATGATCAGCACATTAATTATCACTTTAACTACCCTTCTGTTCACACCATCAAGGCAGTCAAAGCATACTAGAAGGCTGATCGTTCGCCGAAACTCGTCCCCCGCCCATAACACTCAGTAGTGCAAATATTTTATTTTTATATTACTACACCCCGTCTATCCTCTAAGAGGCTCAAGGCGGCGCACACGTCCCGTCCCTATTCCCCACCCACCCCCCATTATATCCTCACAACAACCCTGTGAGGTAGTTGAGGCTGAAAGTGTGTGATTGGGCCACGGTGTTCGTGGTCACCTGCTCATGCGAACCCAGGTCTTTTTGGCTTTAGTCTAACACTCTAGCCACTATACCACACTACCCCTCCAGGAAGTATACAGAGAATGAATCCAGTGTAAGAGGAAAGTACCAGGTACATCTTACAACCACACCCGTTGAAAATGTGTAGTTGAAAATTACAACCACCTATTTAGATTAGTGGTTTCATTTTCACTCACTTTTGGGAAATCCTGCCTGGCGCCCGCTCTGAAGTTCTCGCACATTTGTGTTGGCTTAACTCTGCATCAATCTCCAGGTTAAAATTGCCTGCGGGATCAAGACCGTCGCATCTCTCAAGACCGGAGGCAGCAGTTTTTCTTCATGGAGGTTTTATTAGAATGTTCTGTCAATTATTATTTTTTGTCGTATACCAAATAGCTTAGTGGGAGAGGTGGATTGCCTCACTCCCCTTTCCTGGAGGAAAGTTATACTCTGTAGCAGAGCAAGCTTGAACACCGACATCTCCCATTTCAGTCGCTAAACAGGAAGTGTCTTATAGCCATTTTACAGATGTGAAAGCTGAGACCAAGGAGGAGTTGCTTGATTGCGATGTTGTTGTGTTTACAAACCGCCTTGAGCTTCAGAAAGGTGGGTGTCAAGGTTTCTAAAAACTAAATTAAGTATATAAATCACACTAGACCATCACTTCAACCCAGTCCAGGCAGAACTGAATTAGAATTTGAACTCAGGTCTTCTGCTACATAACAGGGCGCGCTGGCCCTGAGATGATTCAGAAAACCTGCTACCTGCTTCCGGGAAGCCAAATAGCTGGTTAACAATTCCATTTAGTGTCTTCCTTCCTCCTCTCTCCCTCCCTCTAAGCACAAGTCAGAACGAGTCGTGATAACTAATGGAGCATCCAGTTTCAGAGACAGTATACCAGTGAATACCAGGTGCTGAGGATAAACAACATGGGAATGCGTCTCTTCTTCTGGTCCTTCGTGTGAGCTCTCAGAGGACATTGATCCAACAAGGCAATATCTATATTAAACCTAGAAGTAGTTGGCAACAACACTTAACGAGGGCGATGTTTAGAGCTTTCGCACTTCTCTCCTCTTGTCAAGTAAGGGAACAGCGAAGTGCAAGTCAAAAAGAAAATCAAAACCAGCCCTCTGCTCTCCACGCTGAAAGCGTCCTAGAAACAATGACAGCTGGGAAGGCAGGTTACCTGTTGCAGGTAAGAAATTCACGATGCGCATCTCGCGCGAACTCCAAGCTGGGATGCAGTGTCCACTTCCTCTCCCTTGGAACATAGATGCCTCGGAAAGGATCCTTTGAGATGGAGATAATTTGGATGCCGGGAGGAGGAGAAGCGAGGTGCGTTTTCCTTCAGCTCTGCTCGGCCTGCCCCAGGCAGAAAACGTTTCCTCACTCTCTTTTCTCTCTCTTTCTACTCCTCTGGAAGTTTCGTCGGGTGGACACCAGAATTCTGCAGGATGGGATCCTGACTCCCTTCCGCCCTCCCAGCTAGTTCTTTAAGACATTTTTTGTTTGTTTCTTATGAATGGGCAGAGAAAACGGATGAACACTTTGCTCCGCAAAACCAGGACGAAAATGACTGAGAATGAAAGGGGCTTCCAATGAGCCACAATTCCCAGATTCCCAGCCTTCATTTCTTTAAAAAAAACCCCAAAAACATAGAACCTGAGATGTGGGGCAAAACGTACAGACACCATACTCACTTTTCGTGAGATTTTTTCCCCCTTTCAGTTTTACTTTATTCCTGTCATACCCTAAAAAAATAAATTTACGGGCATATGGAACCGAGGCTTCCTAAACCATATCTATAGGGGTTGTTTGGCAGTGGTAAAATAGGATGGGATTGGGTTGTATTGCTCACACGCAAATCATTCCCTTTTCTTTGTAAAAGCGAAAGTTTTTTTTTCCTCCCTTGATTCCTCCGCTCTGCTGGTTTCGGTTTCGCTTCTGTATTAGAATATGTACAGTATACGCATTACTTTAGAGAAATAGCTAACCAAAAGTAAATCCTCTCTATCCCACTGGCACTGAGGAAATTAACCGCGTGTTTAGCTTTCGCTCTCTCTCAGATATAGATGCACACGCACGTGATATAGTGGTACAAAATGTGGTTGAACTGTGTCCGGTTTCTTTTAGAAGTCTCCACTAAAAAAAAAAAAATGTCTGCGAGGCAAATAAGATTTTAAAGAGCGAAGAATCATATCGATAGATCGCTGTCTCTTTTTAGAAGTAAATTTTGTTTAAAGGCTTCTGAGTGAAACTAGCTTTTATGATAATGTGTGCATGTGTGTGCGTATTATTAACATATTATGGGATATAATGAGAGAGCCCATTCGGAGCCCACCTAGTATTTTCAAATGTCTCTTTTTCTATTAAAAAAAAAGTGCGGTCTGAAAAGGTGAGGCTCTTCAACGCTGGTCCCCTGGCCAGTTTCCCTGCCGTGTCACCGCTTATAGACCCTTATAGACCTGGGGGGAATCAACTAGTGATCAGAAACCTATCAAAGACTGAAAGATAGCCAAATCTGACGGGAGTTTCGGAGACTTATTTGAAGATTCTGCTGCAAAAGGGCCCAGCTTCTCCAAGGTTTAGGTTGAATAATCTGGGGCCGGATTATATATGTGTACTTTCCTAGTATTCATATTTGTGTTTGCTTTTGTGCAGCTTTGCTCTTACGCTAGATCGACGTTGCGCTTCTTTGATATTTTCATTCCTAAATCCCTGCAGGATAGAAAGGTGGGCTCTATGCTTGAATTAAAGGGGGGCGTCAGATGGTGTTTCCTGTCCCGTCCCCCCTTTTCAAGAGAGGTGCCGGGTTTTAAAAGATCGGGGGTCGGAGTCCCAGTCTAGATCATACTTTAGAAACAAACCCACGGAAATCGATGGGACACGTTATTGGCGAGTCACTTGATTCCCATGGCTCTACTCCAAGCGCGACCGACGAGGCAATTCCAACCACCTCTACTCGGACGTAAACCCTGTTGAATTCAACGGGGCTTACTCCCAGGTAAGTGGGTTTAGTTTTACAGCCTGGATCTAGGTCCGACGCCTTTAAAGGCAACGAGAGCTAGATTACAGCCCTGGGTCTGAACAACTTGTTGAGTTGCGTTTGCCCGGAAAAGAGGTTTTGGCGCACACGTTGCAAATCAACCTGTTTGCCCACGGGTGCTATTTGTCTTCGAAGGGGTCAGGTCACAGTCCCTCCTTCAAATCAGAACTGTCCCTCTCTTTGAGAAACCTAGCGACAGCGACAGGAGGCCAGGATTTTTTTTGGGGGGGGCAGGCCTTTTGCTGGGAAGCAGAACCTCAGTTTTTATGTATTTTATTGATTTTTATTGATTTATGGGGGACAGCTGCCCCTCCCTGCCTCCTCTTGGCTACGCCCATGCAGGAGGCAGGTCCTTTTGAGCCTGGGAAGGGCCGTAGCTCAGTGGAGAAGATCTACTAGGCAGGCAGAAGGTGTGTGACTTCGGTTATATATTTTGTTGTTGCAAACCGCCTTATGTATAGTAACATAGAAAGGCGGTATACAAACTAAAAGTGAAATGAAGGTCCCAAGTTCAATCCCTGGAGTTTCCAGGTAGGGCTGGGACCTGGCGAGACTTCTGCCCTGGAACCCTGGGGGAGATGCTGCCAGTCAGTGTAGACATTATGAAGCTAGAATATAAGGCAGCTTGTTTTGTTGCTAGGTTTCGGAGGTCCTAACTGGGGAATGGTCGTGTCTCTGTAGCAGAGCACCTGCTTGGCATGCAGAAGGTTCCAGGTTCCAGGTTCAATCCTCAGCATCTCCTGGTAGGGCTAGTTAGAGACCCCTGCCTGAAACCCCTCAAGAGTCTGACTCGGTATAATATGGCAGCTTCCGAGATTCCTAAATGTCCTGTCAAAACAGGAGGCTCTCCCTAAGTTTTTATCAGCTTTTGTAATGAAATCAGGCGAGAGCCTGTGGTCCTCTAGTTGCTCTGGGACTCCAATTCCCATCAGCCTCAGCTTGCAGGGGCCAGCGAGCAGGGATGATGGGAGCTGGAGTACATCGACGTATGGAGAGTCACAGGATAGCCGCCCAGGAACTAAATCAATCCTCATATTTCGCCCTTTAAAACAGGAAACAAAACCAGCACAACAGTGTCTCTGGATGAATACACGGCATGGACACAGCATATACAATTAAAAACCATTTTTAAAAGATCGTAATTTACAAAGAAATCGACAATCACGCACACAAAGGCACGGAAAGCAGCAGAGAAACCCACTTAAAAATATGGATTAATTCTGCTTTACAGCCTGTATTTTCTCCAAAGAGTTAGAGACAGCGTACATGGCTGTCACATAAGTACACAGAAACATACCGTTCCCATTTTATTCTCACAACAACCTTGCGATTGATGTAAATTGAGATGAGAGGCTGATTAGGTTGAGCGATGGATGTCTTGTGTGAAAGGCTGAAAGCCTTGAGCTCTTTGGAGGAAAGGTGGAAGTATAAGTATGGCAAATAAACAAATAAATCACTGCCCTCGCCCATTGTTTGTCTCCTGCGTCTGTTACTCAAAAGTTTTTCTGTTTCTGTATTTTTTCTGCTTTCTTCCATGTAGTTCTCACATCGCCAGCAGCCACCAACAGAGCTACTCCATGTGAACTTTCAAAACATCGAAGCCACTGGCCAACTTAACATCTGGTGGCAGGGAATTCCATAAGCTAAATTAATGTGTTGTGTGGAAAAACTACTAGCTTTGTCTGTCCCGAGTACACTGCCAGTCAGTTTCACCGGGTGATCTTAAGTCACAGTGTTATGTGAAGAAGGGAGTGGGGAATATCGTCTCAAATTCTTCTTTTTATTATGTAAATTCGTCTTTTTCTAAACTTCAGAAAAATATAATTTAATTTCCTATTAGGAAAGGTGCTCCAATTTCCATTTTAAAAAAGTGTTTTAGCAACATAATCTATAACGTTAAGTACTTCATCGATGAGAGAACCTAAAAAAATAATCTATACAGTTGGAATTAAGGAGATCGAGAAATGTTTAAGGCTGCAATCGTAGACACGCTTATCTAGGAGTAAGTCCCACTGAAGTAAGTGGAGCTTACTTCTGAGTAAATATGTAGAGGATTGCAACATATGTCTGGCTCTGGAGTTGTAGTCGACCCAATCCTGCTAAGAGTAGACCAAGTGAAATTAATGGATCTATGTTAGTCATGTTCGGTCACTTCAATGGGTCTGCGCTAAGTAGGGGTAGCAATGATGACAACCCAATGCCTCGTATATTGCAAATACAAGGATACAAAAGTGAGAACCTATACAAAGAGATTTGGAAAATATAAGCTATTGAGATCAAAGGGCTAGGATCGCACTGAGAGGCTGCAGTCCTTTACTCGCTCCTGTACCCAGAAATGAGTCGAATTGAACGCAATGCGACTTACTTCTGAGTAGACACACTCAGGCTTGAGCTGCAAATATCTTTATCTGGAATATGTGGAGGGGGCGGTTGTGGGAGTATGGATTCTCACTCGTTTTTGGACGGCTGGTGTAAAACAATGCGCGCGATCCAATGCCTCTTACGTCGAGGAAAATTGTCTGGCAGAGCTCCAGAGGACTGCGGAATGCACCCAAAACGCAGTAAGGATTGCGGTATGTGCAAAACCACGGAGTCCAGTCTTATGAAGAAAAATAATATTGGTATCTCCATAATTCCTAATACGGATCATAATTCTATCCCAGTTGGACAAATCGTCTGATCAGTGCTTAAGTCATCAGAAGGAGACAGATTCCCCATTCCTTACCACAGAGCGAATATAATAGTCCTAACTTTGCGTATTCATGCTTAAGTTATACCTAGAAAACCCGCAAAAGGTTCCAGAAGAACGAATGTGGTCGGCAGCCAAATAGCCTCTGGGAAAGCTCCAATGCAATACAGTATATGAAAGTAAGAGCCCTTTCCGACCACCTCCTCCAAATCTTCAGTTTGAATTTGTTTCATTCATCCTTTTCTACGGGGGACGAACCAAATTTGCCGCCCCAGTTAACAAAAATCTCCTTTTTAGACCTTTCCCAGTCATCTGCTGAAAAGCACTGCCCTTTGGTTTACTTTCCACGCAAGGACGAGGTCCGTTTGGTTAGCTTCACGTCTCTGAGATTTTCAGCCCCAGAGATGCTTCCAAAGTGGTCAAGGACGCAAATGGTCAAGGATCAGGATCCTGGAGAAAT